TTGGGTGAGAAGATGTCTTCAAGGTTTTATGTGTTATGCTAAGGACTTTTGACTTTTCTTTCTAAGTAAAAAATAGTCATCAGCTGAAACCGGTTTGGCTCAGTGGATAGAATGTTGGCCTGTGGACTGAAGGGTCCCGGGTTCGATTCCGGTCAAGGGCATGTACCTTGGTTGTGGGCACATCCCCAGTAGGGGGTGTGCAAGAGGCAGCTGATAGATGATTCTCTCTCATTGATGTTTCTAACTCTCTATCTCTCTTCCTCTCTAAAAAAATAATTTAAAATATATTTTTAAAAAATAGCCATCAGATATTTTAAAGCTGAGAAATAAAAATTTTGTCTTAAAAGAAAATGATAGTTTTGTGGAGGATAGCTATCAAGCAGAAGTTATTAGAGGATAATTTTTTTTTTTTTTTAAGTAAGAAATCAATAGGGCCCACGCTAAGGTAGTTAGTGATAGGAGTAAAAGTGAGTAGAAAGATATTTCAGAAGTGGAGCAGACCTGGCTTTTGGTGATTGTTTGGATGTCTAAGGGAGGAGGCATGAAAGCGTACTCTTAGCTTAGGCAGCTGGGTGGAAGATGATCCTGTTAATGTTAGGTAATACAGGAAAAGGAACACTAATGCATGGGGAGAGATGAATTTGGATTAGTTCTGTTGAATGTAAAGAGCCCATGGAACTCTCAATATAACATACTTTGCAATTAGAGATATGATGATATCTTCTAGCTATCATCTATATATATAAAAGGCTAATATGCAAAGTGTCCCCTTGGGAGTTTGACTGGCAGTTCATGAGTTTGATTGCTCGCTATGATGTTTTTAAGAGTTTGAGCCAAACTGGACAGTATGCCAGGAAGGAAGATCTAAGTGCTCCCAGAATATACAGTTTTCAGTTTCCCTTACACATTTCAAATTAAGGAGGGAGCATAGGAAGATTATTTGAACATGGGAGAAAGCAAGGCAGGGAAATCTCTCTGATTTGATTACAGGATAGGTAATAAGATGATGTGCTATTTTGAGAGTGGTTACACTCCTAAGGAGTCTGAAAAGGGGGCATTTACAAACGTGCACCAAAAAAACAACAATGGATAGGGCTTACTTAAGGCAAAGGTAATCTTTTACCGGGGAAGTTATAGGCTTGAGGCAGGACTTTCCCGGTTAGAAATTTTTGATCAGATCATCCTGTAAGGTTACTTGGGGTTAGATTTATTACAGAGCCCCTTTTTTGTCCAACATACAGTACCTCTAAAATACTTAATTTTGCAAAGAAATGTTATTTTTCTGTCAGAAACAGCTGTTTTATTTAAATTTTTGTTTTAATATATGTAATAACCAGTCCATATTAAAATTTCTTAAATTGTCTCAAAACATCCCTTTTAACTTTTTTTTTTTCAATGTAGGATGATACATTGTATCTGGTTGATATATCCCTTGAGTCCCTTTTAATTTACAGCAGTTCAAGAGATTGACCACTTGCCTTGTAGAACATTGCATACAAATCACTTGAAAATCTTGTTATGATTGGGGTTTGGATTCAGCTGCTCTAAAGTGAGGCTGAAGTATTGGTGTTTCTAACAAACTTCCACGTGACCCATTGATTACATTCATCCTATATAATAAAGGCCTAATATGCTAAGTGGCCAGGTGACCCAGTTGGCTGGTCGGCTGTTCAACCAATCAAAATGTAATACTAAGACCGCTCAACCACTTGCTATGATGTGCACTGACCACCAGGGGGCAGGCACTCCGACAGGTAGGTTAGCTGGCTGCTGGGGTCCGGACGATTGGGACTGAATGAGACTGGCCAGACATGGTCCCTCTCCAGCTGGCCAACCTCCCGCATCCCTCCCCAGCTCCGATTGTGTACTGGTAGGGTCCCTCACCCTGGTCTGAGCACTCTCACATTCATCGCTGTGACACGCACTGACCATCAGGGGGCAAATGCACAACGCAGGAGCTGCCCTCTGGTGGTCAGTGCATTCCCACAGCGGGAGCACTGCTCAGCCAGAAGCTGGGCTCACAGCTGGCAAGCACAGTGGCATTGGCGGGAGCCTCTCCTGCCTCCATAGTAGTAGGACTTCCCCCAAGGGCTCCCAGACTGCAAGAGAGCACAGGCTGGAATGAGGGGACACACACCCCCCCCCCCACCCAGTGCACAGATTTTGTGCACCAGGCCTCTAGTTGAGTAATAAGGCTCTAAAAAGGCCCACCCTCCAGATTTGCCAGGTTGGTTTTTTTCCCTGGTGTCTTGATCTAAACTTTATTTAATCTGGAAGATTAGGCTTGGTTAGACTTAAGTTCGTCTTTCTGGCTAATGGCATACTAAAGCGATTTTCACCTTTTTCATCTCATGACACACATAAACTAATTAATTAAAAAACATACCAAAAAATACTTTTTGCCTATCTGACAAAATACATAGATATAATTTTGATTCATTCCCACTGGTGGTAGTTGTTGTGTTGGCTGTTGTCATTTGTTTATTTGATAGACTAAGGAAAAAGAGGTCAGTGCATGTTTTAAAAATTCTTGCATCACTTCAATTGAAAATCATTGGCATACATCATAACTCATGAGTACTTCTGCATCACATCAAGTAACATGTACCATCATTAGTGCTGATAACTTGAGCAGTAAATTAGGGTGAAGGTGAGGTTTTTCTTGCTTTCAGCCTTGATGTTATTGTGGGGTGTCACTTTGGCATCACACAGATTTCCAATTCTCTAAATATTCACCAGTTGATAATCCTCTCATGAATCAATGTGCCAGAGGTGGTGATAATTTTCAATGGAAATTTCTTTGACTTTTTACTTACTACCATTCTTTTTTTTTTTTTAAATATATATTTTATTGATTTTTTTACAGAGAGGAAGGGAGAGAGATAGAGAGCCAGAAATGTTGATGAGAGAGAAACATCGACCTGCTGCCTCCTGCACACCCCCTACCGGGGATGTGCCCGCAACCAATGTACATGCCCTTGACTGGAATCGAACCCGGGACCTTTCATCCACAGACCGACGCTCTACCACTGAGCCAAACCGGTTTCGGCTACTATCAGTAGAGCTTTAAAGTACATAGAGCTTTCCCTAATCAACTGAAACTGTTTGGTTACCTTAAAACAGTTCCTATTGAAAAAGGATAAATGCTAAATTAAATTCAGATTTTCATAGAATTGCTGTGTTAACCGTATTCTTTTTTTAAATCCTGAGCCGAGGATATTTTTTTCCATTGATTTCTAAAAAGAGAGAAGGGGGAGGAGGAGGAGGAGGAGGAGGAGAGAGACACACACACATGGACATGAGAGAGAGGGAAACATCAACGTGAGAGAGACACATAAATCGGTTGCCTCCCCCACACCCCTTACCATGGCTGGGGAACCTGCAGCCAAGGTATGTGTCCTTGACTAGGAATTGTACCCAAGGCCCTGTAGTCCACAAGCTGGCACTCTAACCACTGAGTACACTGGCCAGAACAACTATATTCTTTTTGATGCTCAAATTGTTAGTTTTGGCTTCTGGCTGCCTTTTTGAATTGCCTCTATTCTTAGCCTTTTGATCTTTTAATAATCCCTTAATACTCTAAGCATGGAGCTGGTCATGATTCTGTTTTTCCAAGGATCCCTGGATGATACTAGAAATGGCATGCATACTGGGTGACATTGTTTCTAGGCCCATTCTGTGAACTGAGATAGAAAATACATATTTTTCAAATCAATTGTATATTGATACTAGAGGCTTGGTACACAACATTCATGCACGAGGTGGGGAGGTTCCCTCAGCCTGGCCTGTACACTCTTGCAACCCAGGACATCCCTCTCGCAATCTGGGAACCTCTGGCTTCTAACTGCTCACCTGCCTGATGCCCCTAACTGCTCGCCTGCCTGTATGATCACCCATAACCACCTCTGCTTCAGCCCCCAAACCCAGGACCCAGGCTTGCCTCCTCTGGTCGGCTGCAGGCAACCAGGATCTGGGCTTCCCTCCCTCTCTGGCCAGCCACAGGTACCCAGGACCGTGGTTACAGGCAGCTTCCCTTCCCCACTTATTACCCTTTTATTAGTATAGGTTTTCAATTAAACTATAACAGTATTTTTATTTAATTTTATAAGCTTGGTTTTTTCCCCCCTCTTGTACTTTATTCCTTATAGCAGTAATTCTTAAACTGCACATTCATCAGAATCACCTAGACTGCTTGTTAAACTTGATGAGCCTCACCCCTAGAGTTTCCAATTGAGTAGGTCTTAGATAAGACCTAAGAATTTGCATATCTAAGTTCTTAGGTGATTTTTGAGGCTGCTGGTCCAGACCACATTTTGAGAACCACCTTCTTAAACATGGTTTTCTTAGAGTAAAGGAGTTGAGCTAAATTACAGGTAATTTAGGAAAAATAGCCATTTCTTATTTTTAAAAAATGTATATATATTTTGTTTTAGAGCGGGAGGAAGGGGAAGAGAGAGGGAGACATTAATTGACTGCCTCCTGCATACCCGCTACTGGGAATCAAGCATAGGCATGTACCTTGACCCAAAATTGAACCTGAGACCTTTCGGTACGTGGGAGGACCCTCAACCAACTGAGCCACACTGGCCAAGGCAAAATAGTCATTTCTTCTGAAAATAGGACTTTGCATATTTGAGGATAGAATGGGAAAAATAAAAAAAAAATAAAAAGAGTCATGGAGCAGGTCGTCTGTCTGGAAGGTGCCCCAAGCTTTGAGGAATTACTTTTAGAAAGAAGGGTGATATAAAGAGTAGGACATATAAGAGGCCAATATTTAACTTGGCAGGGCAGAGCTTTTACTCGTCTGTCTCACTCATGAGAATGTAAACGAAGGAAGGGTACTTTGGAACAATTTTAATTCATTGCTAATAAGTTTTTTCTTGATTTGTTACTAATAAGTTTCACTAAAATTTTACCTTTGTCATCTGAAAAATGAAAAGGGTTGCAGGGAGATATAGTGTTACTTTTTAAGTTTTTTTAGGGTTTGGGGAGATGGTAAGTGAGAGGTTGGGCTGAAAAGCATCATTATACACATTGTTCTTTGCTGAAATAAAATGCCACTCTCTGAGTTATTGAGATATTAGGAGCCATTTTTCCAAAAGATTGGTGACTCCAGAATGCTCTTACTCTGTTTCTCATTTGTCTGCTTCCTAACTGATATGCTACATAGGCAGGTGATAAAGGCTTGTTCTATGCATTCCCGTATTTAAAAACCTGCTGCAAGTATTTGAAATTGTTGAAGTCTGTGATCACCACTTCACATCTGCTTGGTAACAGCAATATTCACACAGATGGCTTTTAGATTCTAAAGTACTTTTTGAATCCTCAAATTATATTCAGCATATTATTTAGTTTTTTAATTGCTTGGAAATTGGTCAGTTGTATGAAGGCAGTAGTTCTTAGTCTAACCTTTTTGAAAATCTGATGAAAGTTGTAGGCTATCTTCATCAGAAAAATGCTTCTATGCTCAGTTTTAGATAAGTTGAATCTTTTAAATAACATTACTAACATCTAATAAATGTGGGTTTTCATGTGCCATGTAGACTTGGTCTTAATATTTGAATCATTAGCGCTTAAGCAGATTTTTAAAAAGGATTTTTAGTTTCTAAATATGCTTAATAAAAATCTATTATGTATTTTTAAAATATAGGCATGGTTTAGTAATTTTGGAAAATAAAATTAATATCTTTTAGGCACATTATATTTTTCATACCCTTGTTCATGAAATGCTTACAAATGAACCCCATACTTTGGTGAAAACATCTTTTTCCAGTCCTTCATTTAAAAACAAACAAACAAATAAACAAAAACCTGGAAAAATAATTATTTATTCCACAAAGAGAGCTTATCTTCCTAATTTGAAAAGTGCTCCTACAGAATAAGAAGCCACAATGGTCAGAGAGAATTAAGCCCTTCTTTTTTTTTTTTTTAAAGAAACTTAAAGATGATTCTTACTGAAAGTAGAAGAAACTCACTACCAATTTATTTTTATTTGATAGTCCCCAGTAAGACTCTTAACATAACATATAAATAGAAAAAAGGAAAAGCATAATATTTACCAGTATGTGTGTAGGATGGTCTTAGTATTGATATCTTATCATAATTTTCTACTGCTTATTCCAGGTAATTCTATGAAATTGCCAACATTATGCCAACTGCAAGGCTGCATTTGTAAATACTGTCTTTAATCTTGTAATCAATATAAATATTTTTGAGCTGCACATTTTATACATTTTACACTATTTCCAAAGTGTTTATTTATGCACACATAATCATGTTAAGTTGTAGAATTCAAGATTCTGCATGGCGGCTTCTGTGTTACAGTAACTAAGATTGTATCTTTTCGCACCCTAATTGCAAAAATTTTGTTTTAATCCAGTTAGCTTTTGAAGGTTAGTTAAAATACCTAAACTAGATAAGAGGCATTTATTACTAGATGGCATATTTTTGCACGTATGTTTGTTTTTTGAACTTAATCGTAAAGTTGAAGGGAAATGCTTTTTTTAAATGTCTTTTGAATCTAGCATATCTATAATAGGCACATTCAAACTTTCTCTTTTCTTGCAGATAAAGCTTCACCAAGAAGGTTGCCCAGGAAGCGGGCACAGAAGAGATCAGTGGGATCTGATGAGTAAATGTTCCTTTGTGCAACAATACAGTCTTTACTTAACCTGCCCTAATGTTTTTCGGCCTGATGGGAATTAGTGCAGAGAAGCCATGTCACCATAGAAGCAACTACTACTTGTGTGTGGACTGAGCAATCAGAGTCTGTGGCGATAATATTTTTGAACGTGCACTGCATTCATTTTTCTAAAGTAACAAATTTGTTTTTTTTTAACCATTAAAATCTATGTGTGTGTGTGTGTGTGTGTGTGTATGTGAGCAGTTGGTCTTACCAGAATCATCGTTGAACTCCCTGAAGCATGCCTTTAGAATACTGAATATTAATTGCCTTTCTTGTTGACATTTTTAATATGTATTTTCTCCCCGAAGTCCATATTTATCTTATACTATAGATGTCCTATGTTGGACTGTTTAAAGAAAATAACTTGTTTCGTCCTTAGGATCCCAGTTGATAGAACAAATTAGCATTTGGTTGTCATCATTGCTGTTTTACAACTAGTATTCTAAAGGCACAAGCAGGAGCAGCGGCTTTTTAGCAATAGAGTATTTTGGTATTTTGCTGCTGTTTACTATAATATGCACCTTCAGAACACTGCCCAAATGAGTTCAAGGGATCTCTAGCAACAAAAATGTGAAACATGAAAATTCTGCTGATTTTGGTGTATAAAATCCACCTCACTCTCTTTTTTTATCAGAAAGAAAATGGTGTCTTTGTGGAAAATGAATTGTTGTGTTAACCATTATTGTTCTATTTCTTACCCAAAGGATAGCTTTGGAATGATTTTAGACCTATTTAGTTATTTTTTTGAAGAGATCATTTGTCTCTCCTTAGTAGAAGTATTTTACTTAAGAAAAGTTGCCTTGACTACAGACTGCAAAAGGCCAGTTTATAAGGGCAGAGATATATTTCAATTAATTCTAATTTAAGAAAATTTAGTTGGGTATTTTTTAGATGGTTAATCAATTGTTTTTTATATACTCTCTTGGGGATTTTGGTTGTTGATACAACCTTTTTTTTTTTTTTTTTTTTTTTTTTTTTTTTTTATCTGAAGAATTCCAAACTTTAAGCACTCAGTATCTAAAAACCAAAATGAAATCGGAATTTATAAAATTCACTTAGAGAGTTACTCTTGCCCTAGGTATTAAATTAAGTTTGGCATTATTGTCAGACTGGATAAAGGTTAATGTATAATAAAATGAACAAATAAGAGGCTTTTCCCCTCTATCGTTAAGCCATATTCTTCCATGTATATTTTGTAAGGAAATGGTATGTGAAATTTTAGTGGCTGTTCAATTCCTGATTGTCTTCATTATAATGAACTGACCACTCCCCACCTGTACCCATGCCCACACAAAACAATGAAAAGAGACAAAACACACACACAAAATCTTTCCAAGTTGTTTTAAGTATTTAAACATCGGAGCCAAAGTCAGTGACAAAATAGAAGTCGTTGTATAGTTATTAATCATGTTGCAAGTAGGGGTGAAGGTTGGCATTGCTGCACTATAAACTTCTATACCTGTAATATAAAGTGTTTTAAGTTTTTAATTGGGCTAAATAATCAGCTTATTTTGAAAAAACTCTATGAATGTTAAGAGACTGCATGTTTTTTTTATTAAATGTAATAAGGAGGCCTTTCCATCTTCTCAAGGAATGTATTCCCAGATATTTTTGTGAGTGTCCCAAGTTTGTGAAACTATTAGAACATAATGCAGTGAGGTGTGATTACATAATTTAAGTGACCTCTAGAGAATTTTATCAACAACCTGGTAATGCTGAGACAGTGGCAAAGCCACACTGACTGCCAGGTGCCACCCCTTCTAACCTCTAAATAATTTGCCTTACATACTAGCCTCTCCATTTCTGAGGTTCAGGTTCATACCTCAGAAGTTATTTGCCATGTTTTATTTTATTTTTTTTTTAGCATAGGAACACTTGAAAACTCAGGTGCTGGGGGGAGGGGGGGTCTTTCTCTAGTATCAGTAAGTGTTTAGCAGGAACTAACTCTGTAATAAATGGAATTCAATTCCACACATGGTTTGTTCAAGCACACTTAATAAGTAGTCTATTTTTTAAATGTAAATATTTGGATGAAGTTTTTGTTTGTTTTGAAATATTCATTTGCTACATTAACCATGGTTTCAGAATTTACCATTTAAACAATTTGGTTTCAGAATCTGTAAAATGAACTAAGAATCTTATGTATCAATTCAGATATGTGAGAATATGTGTTTATAAAGCGTGGATCTTGCTTTGGTTGTATAGCTTCATCATTCATTTCATGGATATCAATAGCAAATGACTTTTAAAACTATTCCTGCCCTCTAAGGTGTTGGAGTGGGGAAGGGAAATGGGACCTCCTGAGGGAAGTAGAAACCTGAGGAAAACAGACATCATAAGGAAAGAAGCCTTGACTAAATTTTAGTGATGTTTTTCATTTAATTTAATTTTTATTTATTTTTTAAATATATTTTATTGATTCTCTACTGAGAGGAAAGGAGAAGGATAGGGAGTTAGAAACATTGATCAGCTGCCTCCTGCACACCACACAGTGGGGATGTGCGTGCAACTAAGGTACATGCCCCCGACCGGAATCGAACCTGGGACCCCTCAGTCCGTAGGCCAACACTCTTACATACCAGTGAGCCAAACTAGTCAGAGCTGATGTTTTAATTTTAAATAAGCTTCAGATCATAGTGACTTTGATAGGAAAAGACAAATTTAGATTTTAAATATATATATTTAAAAGCCACTGCCTTAAAGGTGTGTTTGCAATGCATCAGCCTGTAATTGTACTTTGGTTCTGTTCGGGAGAAGTAAGTGGTGGTAATGTGATGTCAAAACTTGGACTTAATGACTTGAGTTATTTTGGAGCTACAGTAGTAGATAAATGTATAATAATATAATATGCAAGGCTCTTAAAGCATTTATCTTTTGTGATACAATGATATCCATACCCTTAGTATGAAGAAAAATTTATTTGTTTAGTACATTTAAATAATGTGATTTTTCTTTTTTTAACCATTAACTTTCTATCCTTCTTCCTCTCTGTAAAAAAAAAAAAATCAATAAAATATAGTTTTAAAAAATTAGATGTTAGGTTAAATTTTAAAAAACTTTCTGCCCTAGCCAGTTTGGCTCAGTGGATAGAGCATCAGCCTGCGGGTTAAAGGGTCCTGGGTTCAATTCTGGTCAAGGGCATGTACCTCAGTTGCAGGCTTGCTTCTCCCCAGCTGCGTCCTCCTTGAGGCTTGTGCAGGAGGCAGCCAATTAATGTGTTTCTCTCACATTGATATTTCTCCCTGTCTTTCCCTCTCTCTTCCACTCCGGAAATCAATGGAAAGATATTCTCAGATGAGAATTAAAAAAGAACAACAAAAGAAATACTTCCTGATACACTTGAAATAACCACAGTTTGGGAGAGCATCATTTATAGTTGTAAAATGAATAAATTTATTCTGATTTTATTAAGTAACTAGAACCCTTGTTTGCATGAATTCTTGCATGGGCGGGGTCTGGCCAGCCTGTCCCAATGGGGGTTCATTGGGCTGGGCCAGTGGGGGGCAGGGGCCTCAGATGGTTGGCCGGCTCGCCCTGCCCCCTGATCAGGGACCAGATCAAACTGGTTGGCTGCTGCAGTGTGCATCATAACTACCAGTTCTAGTCGTTCCACATTCTGGTCACTGGGCTTTTATATAGAGAGATATCCTACTTTGAATTAGATCTTCAGCTTAGTGAGGAGCAAGGTGCAGTGCTATGGTATAGGTACTGTTTACCTGCCTTTTTTTTTTTTTTAAGACAGAAAGGAGCTCATTTATTAAACATCAGTCATGCACTGTTTTCTGTTGGGACTTTCATTCATCTCATAAACCTTCACAACAGTTCACTGAAGCAAGCTGATAAACTGTTCTCATTTTACAGGTGGAAAAACCAAAATCAGTTTGAGTAGCTTGCTTGAGGTTACACACTGAATATGGATTCAGAGCTGTCTTATTCTAAAACACATGTTCTTTACCCTTTACTGTGTTTCAGAAGGAAATTTTATAAAACCAAGCATTTGGGCAGCTTAAAATACTTTGTTTTCCAGATTCCAGCAATAAGTTCAAATAACCCCAGTGTGGAATATACTATATATACACACTTGCTGTACTGTACAGTAGTGCACGAGTGCCACTCATCTCCAAAACAAACCCCAGAGTCTTCTGAGCTGTTATAAATTGATTTGTCTGTTAATGTTGTATGTACGTATAATTTTTTTAAATTTGATACTGCATTTTTATATGATAATTTAGTTTTCCTCATATGCCCTACTTAATCTCTGACAATAATATCTCTTTAAATGTCCCCTTGATTTAAAGAAATAGTCTTTAAAAATATTTTCATCAAAATAGATTTTCTAGTTTGATTGTAATTTCAAGTTGTAAAGGGTTGAAAGATACATCCTCATATTAGAGATGAGAGGGAAGTATTTGTTGGGTTATACAACCAACTAATTATAGAACTGGGATTACAGGTTAAGTTCATATATTACAACTGAAGATGATATGACGAGGGCTTTTCTTATTCTCCTGCTGTTCCTTACATAGATTTCTGTGTGGTATCCATGACAACCTATCATCTTGTTGACATGTTGATCTCCTGCTGGGCTACGAGTTTATATCTTTACATTTTATTCCCAGGTTCTAGTTCATGATTTTCAGGTGGAAACCTGTCATAAGGTGTTCAAAGAAATAAAATGTAGGCCAAGTTTTCACAAGCCACATTTCCATGGCATTGTGTAGAGAAATATTCTTGGTGATAATCCAGTCTCATTGGTAGTTCTGTGATGTTGCATAGAGAGGTGATGTAGTATGCCAGCTTGGGGATTAGGATGTAGTCAGTCCTGGCCTCTAAACAACAGTGATCTTCAGAAGGCAGCTCATCTCTAGAGTTTTGATGTGTGCTTGTAAAATTGAGAGACAATTGAAGTGTCAGTTCCAAATTTACTGTTACCTACAATGTTAAGTGATTCTTCCTTAAATCTAGTTTACTCGGAAAAAAAAAATGAACTAAGATATAGAATGGACTCATGTCAGTCTTCCTGGGCTCAAAGTCCCAGCCCCCTCCTCTAAGTTGGAGGCAAATAACCTCTTGGAGCTTCAGTTTTGGTGCTTAGCACATTGTCCATAGCAAAGGAAGCCATGTGAGTGACGGCTGCCTCTGTTGTGGGTGCTGGGAAGGGAAGGAAGTGCATATGGTACTTTTTGGACTTAGATGTGGGGGGGATAGTTAAATTCTATTGTGTAGAAAAATTACAGTAAACAGCATTCTTTTTTAAACTACAGAGTAAAAGTCTTAAGATGAACATGAAACGTAGGTAGTTCTGGTTCACTTACTAATGAACCAGAGTAATAAGACTTGGAGAGGCTACGTGTTTCCCAGTATTTCCATTTTTGGGACTTAGAATTTCTTTCGGATTTATACACTAAGCCACTCAATGAACAAAAAAGACTTACATATTGTTTTTCAGAATCTGTTTGTGTGGTCTCCCATCCCAGTCACATTGTCATATAGGTGCTCCAGCTCTGAAGGCGTTTAGAAAGCAGTGTGAGAAATATTTTCAACAGGAATAGTGTTTGGATTGAGCTGATGGATATCAGGCCTCTGCTCTACTCTTCCAAATGCATTCTCATTCAGTCCTCACGACTACCCTACCGTTTTCCCCGAAAATAAGACCTAGCGCATGGAAAGATAAGACATCCCCTGAAAATAAGACTTAGCGCAACTTTGGGAGAAAAAATTAATATAAGACACTGTCTTATTTTCGGGGAAACAGGGTAGGTAACTTCTTATCCATGATGAAACACCCTCCAGGAGACCAGAGGTACCCACACTGCAGGTTTGGTGCATTGACTACTCCACCTTAGTTTGAAAAAGGTATGTGTACACTTCGTTTGGAAGCACATTCACATTAACACACAAAATATACTTAGTTCTGGTTGCATCATTTGGAATTTGCTTGATTATTTTCTCTGAGGTAGACATCTATCTGGAACTGCTCAAAGTCAAGCTACATTTATACTCTTGAACAGTGGCTCTCTTGAAAGGATTTGTTGCCATCACCCCCTCCACACATGTGAGACTAGTTCTCTGCCCTTGAACTCCCCTGGGTTTATTATTAGAGTCGTATGTATTATAAGGTCTTGCATTTAATATTTCATACTGTTCATAATTGTTAACTTTTCATGGCTAAAATTACTATTCTGTATTTGTAAATTTGTCCCTAAGAGCTGATGGCACTGTTCACTAAAGGGAAAGTAAATCTAGACCGGCTGTAGACTGCTGGTCCTGAGCTGTCTTCCAGAACAGTGGCGGCAGGATCACTCCGCATGGTATGACATTGGTTTCACTTGTCTTTGATCTTATTTGAACCCACCTGGATAACACTTAATCTGGTTTACACCAAAGCCCCTGCCTTGAATTACTCTCTGAAACCACTACAGTGGCTTTTCACATGTGACGACAGGGCTGGTTTTAAGGAGATATCTTGTACATGTCGGGTCTTGGTCATGTCTGCACAGTGAAGACCGTGCTAACTACTGTCTATACAAGCATTCGCCACTCTCACTGACCACCACGTCCTATCTTCCAGGTTCTTGAGAGACTTGACCTTCAGTTGTGCACCTTGCCTATTACCCTCTCATCTGGCTGCTTTCCTGCTGTGTCCACCTTTACAAAACATTCCTGTCTTGAATCTTTTGCATGATTCTCTTACTCCTGTTTTTCTGTTTTATTTTCCTCTTTGTAAAAATATATCCTAAGCAATCGGTTTCCTTTTCCTCTCCAGGCTTTCGATCTTTTAAACTTTCTTCAATTTAGCTCCTGCCCCCCAAAATGTTCTCTTGGGATCTCATGGCTCCCCACTGGCCAGCCTTCTTTAATCTCAGTTCTCCAGCTTAACTTGTGCACATAACCCAGGGACCACCACCCTTCAAATTCCCCTTAGCTCCTATGACCTGCTCTCACGAAACTCCTCTTTTCTGACTAACCCAACTCAGGCTTCCTCCCGCTCTGTACTAGCCTTGACAGAGTTTTCATGGTGGTCATCATGGCCTCATCTGTTAACTGTTTATTTCCTTAGTCCTAATGTTTGAGACCTCCAGTACTGTTTTAGTGCCATTCTGTCTGCGATTCGTTTTCACTTAAATTTTCTATCGTAACCCCAAACCATCAAATCACAGATGTTTATTTTCCTCCATAAACCTCCACAGTCTAACTTCTTGCATTCTTCAGTAACATGGCTCCTATTTATCCCACATTGAATCTTAAAGAGCCCCAAGTATTATGACTTCACTGTAAGTATTTAATAAATGCTTTCTAATTTTTAGCTCTGCTATGAATTAGATTTCAGTTCTTGCCACTTCAAAATCTTAACAATTTAAGAACTTAAAAAACCCCAGAATCATTCTTTATAGGCAAAATACCCTGTTTCCCCGAAAATAAGACAGTGTCTTTCTTATATTAATTTTTTATATCTGGTTCAAAATTTATCTTTTTACATAAAATTTTTCTCAAAATCTAGGATTTGCTGTTTTCATTCTAATGCTTGAATACTTGAAATGTGATCTCTAAATGTATGTGTGTGTTTCAGAGAGGGAGAGGGAGAGGAAGTGAGAGATGAAACATCAATGATGAGGGAGAATCATTGATTGGCTGCCTCCTGCATGCCCCCCACGGGATCGAGCCCGAAACCTGGCCATGTGCCCTGATCAGGAATCGAACCTCGGGAATCGAACAGTGATCTCCTGGTTCATAGGTTAATGCTCAACCACTGAGCCACGCCAGCGGGGCATGATCTCTGTGTGTTTTAATCCAGTTGCTTATGACAGAACTTGCTCCTGCAGTGTGAGGTTTAGCTGTTGACTGAGAATGTTATCTGGCTATCTTTTGGGACTTTGTGAAAGGAGGGCTGTGAGTCCATAAAAATCTTGTGCAGCTTTGAGAAGTATCCCTGCTCTAGAAGTATCTGGGAATCACAGCCTTTCCTGTTTGGTAAACTCATCACTGCTCTGCTGTCAAATGCATCTTTCTTACATATCCCTTAACAAAGGGCAGTCTTCAAAGTTCTTGTGTGCAATACAAAATGTTTCCCAAGTGTCAACACAGGTTACTGCTAGGTGGTCGTGTGTGTCCCGTCCCCTCCCCACTGCTTAAAGATGAGAAGCACAAAGGAAATCTAAAATATTAAGCAAAAAGTAAAACAGGAACTAAAAGATAATTTGGGTATTCAACTTCCTAATAATTAACTAATTTTCCCATTGAATTTGTAAAAAGCTTCACATTCTCTGCATGTAAAATTTGGGTATTAAGTAACAGTCTTGTTTTAGAATAAAGATACTTTAGGATGAGTTTGAGTGTTCTTTGGCTGGCAGCTAGTTGACATCAGATGATGCTCATTAGACACCCCCCACCCCTGTACTGAGAGTAAATGTGGAGACTGCATACGCTGACCATTTAGACATTTGTAAGTGAGCAGAGATGGGTCTTGGACTTAATTTTCTCACCTATGTTTCAGTGAGTCAGTAGAGCCTTTACTTTCCTCCTTTTCAAGGTTTTATCGAACGTGGTAGAACTGAACTGGGAAAAGTAACTTGATTAGGGGCTGTGCCAGCCAGAGAGTTGTCTCTAACTGTGTAATGTTAGAGACCAGCATTGAAATATCTTCTCTACGTGCTTAAAATGCTCAGTATTAAGTAAAATTGATATTTGCCCAAGATCTGAAAGGGCATATATAAAACACTAAAGCAGTTTTTGTAGCAAGGTGGTAGATTGTTTTCCGTTTCAAAATGTTTGTAATGTATGTATATTTTATAACAGAAGAAATAAATATATATATATATATAAAATTTGCCTGAGCCTTAAAAATCAAGGTAGAGTATTACTGGAAAATGCTTGAAATTATTTCTCCTTAAAGGAGCCCAAGCTTCCAATCCGTTACTTTTTAAAATTAGTAAGCCATCTGTAGCCACTGCTGGCTGGGAACCCTCCCCAGCCTCCTGTTCACTTGGGTGAACATGGAGTCTCCACCATCACCTGTAGGTCCTCCAGAATCTGGTCCTTACCTGCCTCTGGCCCTCTGCTTCCCTCTGGCCTGGCCACGTCAGTAAGTCCCTCAGCCCCTACATCATCTCTTGCCCATTCATTAGTCTTCCCTGACCTGCTTCCCTCATCGAAGGCAAGCACCTGCATCGCAGCACTCTGTCCATTGTCCTTATACCTTTACCTCTGCCTGAAACTTCCTTATCCTTTTCTTACCTGTCACACTCTGGAAATGTAAGCTTCATAACAGCAAGAATTCAGTCTTCTTTGTCACCAGATCACCAAGTCTAAAAACAATGCATGGCACATGATAGATGGTTAATCAATATGAATTATTTAATTATCACAACCATACAGTAAAATGGATATACAGCCCGTTTTGCAGATGAGGAAGTTAAATGCACAAGTTAAATAACTAAAAGTCACTCTAATTATTAAGTGGCAAATTTGAGGTTGGAACACAGGCCCATCTTTCCAGATCCTTCATGTGACACTATGCTGCCTAATAGTATGGAAGGCCTGGGGTTGAATTGCCATGTCTGCTGTAGACACAACCTTCCAGGCCCATGCAGGGCCTGCACCTTGGGAATGAACGGCTGCAGCAGCCCCTTGGCTGTACATTGGCAGCTCCACTAGGAAGTGCTTACCAGAATGAAACAGGAACCCACCTAGGAGGTAGTATGGAGCTGCTGTGAGTGTGCATCCCTTAGGTGAGTTCTAGAAAAGGGACACAATAGGGAAAGCACAGCCAGAGCTTCAAAATGAAAAGTTCCTGAAGTGTGAGTGAATTGTAAGCTTAAACATTTTTCTCTTAAATTCATAATGACAAGCTTAGTGAATGATACCAAGTTGAAATAACTAAGCTCATTTTCATAATTTTAAATCTAATATTACTCCTCTGCAAGAATTCTCCAAACGATAACTAAGGCATTTTAAAAGCATAAATAACCATTACTCCCAAGCTCCCAGATACCTGTTAGCATGAGTATGTTTTGGTGCCCCCTGCTGCTGATGAGTGGTACAGCAGTGAACAACCCATTCCCAGGGCTGCAGGTTGGCATTAGCAGAAAGGTGCCAAATGATTGGGAAGATAGGTCTGTTAGGAATGGTTCACTTCTAAAGCAAACGACCTGCTCCAATCAGCCTATGCATGCTGTACTTCACCCTACCCCAAAAGTACACATCAAATTAAAGTGAAAAATACTGCTTTTGCTAAGACTTGAAGAAATTATCTGGGCAAAGTTATTTGAATGATCATGTCAGTAGAAAGGTGAATGCTGGGAACAATCCCTCCCCCCGCTGGGGTCACCTTAGAGCTGGCTGACCACACTCAGTGTGTTCTCTGGATTCATCTTGTCTCTTGGGAGAACATGGTCTTAGAGGACACCGAGCCTCTGCTCCGCCTTCATCATATCCATATGTGTGTGTGTGTGTGTGTGTGTGTGTGTGTGTGTGTTTATTTTAGATGAACTGAGAAAATATTTTCATTGGACATCAATATAATAAGGTTAACTGCAGTTGGAATTGGAACTTGTTTGAATCAAAACTCGCCCACTTACTGGCAAGATAATCTTAGACAAATTACTAAATGGTCTCAGCCTGTTTCTCCATCTTTAAAATGGGGACAATAGTAATTATAGTTATTACTAATATTCAGTGAATATTTATAAAGCCCTCACTATATGTCGTGTCTTTTTTTTTTTTTTTTGACTGTGAGAGAGAGGGCTAAAGGGCTTGCCCAGCTCTAGTGGCCAGAGCAGCCTCAATTGCTGGCGTCATTCGGCCTTTATTGGAATTTTTTAAAAAGAAATCTTTATTGTTCATATTATTACAAATGTTCCTCATTTTTCCCCCCTCCATTGCTCCCCTCCACCAGGTTCCCAGCCCACCCTCTTCCCTTTCCCCACCCCCCATTGTCCTCATCCATAGGTGCACAGTTTTTGTTCAGGCTCTTCCCGAACCCCCAACTCCCCTTTTCCCTGAGAATAGTTCACTCCCCTTCCATACCTCTGATTCTATTATATTCACCAGTTAATATTGTTCATCATGTTTTTTAATTCCCTTGGCTTTTAGTTTCACTTGTTGATAGTTACCTATTTGTTGATCATAATTTTTATCTATATCTTCTTCCTCTTCCTAAAGAATACCCTTCAGCAATTCATATAATTCTGGTTTGGCGGTGATGAACTCTTTTAGCTTTTTTTTATTTGTGAAGCTCTTTATCTGGCCTTTGATTCTGAGTGATAGCTTTGCTGGGGAGAGTATTTTTGGCTGTAGGTTCTTGTTATTCATCACCTTGAATATTTCTTGCCATTCCCATCTGGCCTGCATGGTTTCTGTTGAGAAATCAGCTGACAATTGTATGGGTGCTCCTTTATAAGTAACTACCTGCTTTGCTCTTGCTGCTTTTAATATTCTCTCTTTGTCTTTTGCTCTTGGAATTTTAATTATTATGTGTCTTGGTGTGGTCCTCTTTGGATTCCTTTTGTTTGGAGTTCTGCGCGCTTCCTGGACTTGTAAGTCTATTTCTTTCACCAGGTGGGGGAAGTTTTCTGTCACTATTTCTTTCAGGATGTTTTCGTTATCTTGCTCTCTCTCTTCTTATGGGACCCCCATAATTCTGATGTTAGTTCGTTTGAAATTGTCCCAAAGGTTTCTTACACTATCTTCAACTTTCTGGATTCTCTTATCTTCTTGCTTCTGCAGAGGAGTGTCCTCTGGCTCTTTGTGTTCTAAATCTTTGACTTGATTCTTACAATTTTCCATTCTGTTTTTTAGGACTCTGTATAATATTTTTTATTTCAGACAATGTATTCTTTATTTCTAGTTGATCTATTTTCATATCCTCATAGGTCTCATTTATTTTATCGGCCTTTTCTAGGAAATTCTTGAAAAACCTTATAAGATGGTTTTGAACTCTATATCCAGTTGCTTCTTGTCCTCCATTTCTTTTGTTTGTGTTTCCTTGTCTCGGCCTTTTCACAGCTTTCCTGAGTTGGTAGGGTGGCTTTGTGTGCTAAGGTGTCCTATATGGTTCAGTGAGTTGGCCTCCCAGTTACCTGAGGTGGACAGTCTTGGTGTAGCCCTTTGTGGGCTGTGTGTGCAGTCTTGTTGTTAAGCCTTGCTTGTTGTTGGTATCACTGGGAAGCATTGATCTCCAAGCCAATTGGCTATGAGGATCAGAAGTGTCTCAGCTAGGAGGGTTTCTGGATTCCGCTTGAATGAGGCGGAGTCTCGGGGTGGCACAGACAAGCTTTGTTGAATCCCGCACAGTTGGTTGCAGGCGCACGCACCTCTTTGGTATAGGCGCAGACAAGCTTTAGATTCCTGTCTGTCACTCCCTAGGAGAGTCCCATTCACTACGAACGAGAAAGTTAGTCACTTGAAGGGCTTCTCTGCTCCGCTTGGATGGGGCGGAGTCTCGGTTGGTGCAGACAAGCTTTATTCAGCCCCTCCCTATGAGGGTCTGGTTTCTGAGTCCCGCAGTAATGGCCGCTGGCTTCACACACCTCCGAGAGATCTCTGCCCACTGCCCGACAGTCTGGCCTCTCCCTGTCTGGGGCCATCTATCAGCGCAATAGGGTGGTTCTGTTTTCCCGAACAAAAAAGCCAGCTACGCATTAGCTGTCCGCCCTCTCCACGCGCAGGGAGTAAGCCAGTAGCGAACTCGGCCCGCTCTCTCCGCGTTCCGCAAGCAAGCCAGCAGCAAAGTCGGGCGGCTGCCTTTTCGCACGCACAGTTCTCCGCACCTTCACAGTTCCTGAGGTTCAGCGCACCTTCTTTCTCCTTCCCAGATGGTAGAGCCTCCTCTCAGCCAGCTGTCCGGCTCTTCAGGGTGATGTTTCCCCTGTTTTCAGTTCTAAATTCAAATTTGTTGTGGTAGGCTGCATTCAGGTGTCTACCCTATGCCGCCATCTTGGTTTCTCCTCTATATGTCGTGTCTTGTTGAATTTTTAAAACCATCACATGAAAAAACCTGAACAAAAAACAAACAAAACAAAACAAAAAAACTGATCTTAATGCCTACCCCAGAATAACCTAATTTTCTCTCTGAGGAATGTTTCTTTTCCTCATTACATAAGCAATATTTACTTGAAAGCCAACTGAAAACCATCAACCTCTTTTTTTTTTCTCCTAGAACTGTGAAATTGTTTTTAAAAGGTGTGTTCCTCTCTCTCCCACTCCCCGCTCCCTGTACTTCATGCAGCATCATAAGGTATTAGAGTTGGAAATCATCCATCCAGCTCCTTGGCCAGTGTAGGGCTCCTTAGGGACACCTCCACCAACTGGGTGGCCCAACCCATTATTGGCTAGCCTAACTGTCAGTTCTTTCTTGAACCCAAATAACCTTCCTTGTGATAATTGGTCACATAAAACTTTACATATTTTATTGAATTGGTACAGGCCAGGTGCACAAAATTCATGTACTTGGGGGGAGGGGTCCCTCAGCCCAGCCTGTGCCTTGCAGTCTGGGAGACCTCAGGGGATGTCCAACTGATGGCTTAGGCTCGCTCCCCA